TGAAGTGGCCAGAGCAGCAGTCGCAGGAGCACGGCCATATGGGGCAGCTTCCTCATTCGCCTGGGGCCAGGGCAGCTGTGGTGGGCCAAGAGCTTTTCCTTGCTGCCCTGAAAACTTCTCTTAGTTTGCTAATCCCTGCTTTAAGGCGGAACACTTGTTCCTCAGAGTCTTACTAGCTTAGAATAAAGAGAAATCAGGTGTTTGTGCTATGGGTGGACCACGTTTGGGGTCCATGACTGACAGGAAGCTCCATGCTCGCTTAGCTATTGTGGTAAAGTAGGAATGCAGACAGCCCTACAGTCACGGCTGTGCGGTGGAATGATCCAGGCATCCTTAACGGCGTTCCACGAGAAATGCATTATTAGGCACTTCCCCCCATTGTAGGAACATCATCCTAGAAGGCATTCGCACTGATGATACAGTCTCCTGGGTGTGTCATCCTGTGTATTTGTCAGTTCTTTGCTGTAGTGTCAGTGTGAGGCACGTAACTATGTTGAATTTGCTTATTCTGTCTAGTAAGAATTTATAAGCCTTCCCAGCTGCCTAGGAGGAGGCTGAGGCAGGAGGACCACTGAAAGGAATGGAAAGGAAGTCGAGGGTAGGGGGAAGCAGGGGAGGAGAAGGGAAGGAAAGGAAATTGGCAGACCTACCCCTCAGCACTGCGCAACAACTGCAGGAGGCCCTCAAAGCACATACAGTTCAGTGCGCTAGAAAGGCCATTTAAATGTAGTGTGACTAGAAAAGCGCACATAAAAATGGCAATCGACTTTTAGATTCCAGCAGTGAAGACGCTTGCGGTGGAGGTGACTGTCAACACACACAGCAGTGACGACAAGCGTCACAGTGCCTTAGGTGTACGTAGCTTGTAGACTACAAAGTCGCCTTCCGCATAAAAGATCTCCCTTGATCTTCACAACACCGCAGGATCACAGGAAGAAGAGGGCAGTCGAGGCGGGGTCACCCAGGCAAGAGAGCTGGGGCCAGCACACTCAACACGAGCCATCACTCACATGTTGAATTCATTTTTCTTAGAAAAGATTACACGTATTACAGGAACACATTTGTCAGGGGTAAAAATATACTGACTTTATCTCTATTTCCAGGATCCAATTATATGTCACAAAATTGATGGTGAATGTAATTTAGTCAGGGAATGGGCTGTGACCACAGTGAAACTGATGCCATACCTTTAGGGTTTGAGAATTATACAAAAGGCATCATTGTTATCCCCGCCTTTTGGAATGGTAAATTAGAAGAACTGAATGCACCAATTATCATAATTTAAAATGCATTCTTATAATTTAAGGTTAGAGACCCCTTTCATATATAATTTTAAAATATGATTTGGGGGCTGGGGAGATAGCTCAGTAGAATAAGCACTTGCCTGGCAAGCAAAAGGTCCTGAGTTCAATCCCCAGTACCGCAAAAAAAAAAATAAATAAATAAAATAAAATTTTAAAAAAGCTTTGGTATGGTTGATTTAATGGTATTTATTTATTTATCTTTTGTGACATGATCTTATTATCCAGTTCAGGTTAGCCTTGAGTTCACAAGAGATCCTTCTGCCTCAGCCTACTAAGTGCTGGGATTACAGGCATGCACCACCAAGCCAGACCTTTATGGGGTGTTTTTTGTTTGTTTGTTTGTTTGTTTGTTTGTTTGGCAGAACCGGGGATTGAACTCAGATCCTTGCGCTTGCCAGGGAAGCGCTTATTCCACTGAGCCATCTCCCCCGCCCCCTTTATGTTATTTTTAACGTTTAATCCTAAATAATCTTTATGTGGTACTATTCTACAATTATCTATAAAATTCTACACTTACAAAGGAAGCTGCCATTATTAACCTTATTACCTAACAGAACATTTCAGGTCCTGGGGGCATAGAAAGAAGAAACTGGACTGGATGCAGGGAACTTCTACCTTTCCTAACACAGAAACACCTAACCCCTGAGAATATTGTTTTAATATTTGGCATATGTGGTTCTTTTTGGATGCAGTCACCTTTCCTAATATTCTTAATTTTTGTTTTCCAGTTTTGTGAGTATGTGAAGATAATTATTCGTGATCAGAGAAGTGTTCTTGCCTCAGCAGTCTTGGGACTGGCGTCTATAGTCTGCATGGGCCTCGCATCGTACATTACTTTTCCTGCACTTCTCATACCGTTCTGCTTATGGATGTCTGGATAACTTCATAGTCCTGTGTCAATGTGTATGCATTCTAGGTACAAATATGTTTATATTTATAGAGCACAAGTCACTATAAAGATCGTTGAGAAAAACGTGACCTGTGGCACTATGTTCTGAACAAAAATGTGATGAAGAATCATATACAGTGCTTACCGTGTAAGACCAAGAATGAAGGATTTCTAATCTTCTCACGCAGGTCCTTGTAAGATACCATTCAGCCCTTGGAAACATGGCAGCTTGTGACAGAATCCAGCAATACAAGAGAGTCCCATGTGAGATGATAGCCACAGGAGATTGTCTGTGTGGGCTTTGGTCTCCTGTAGTCATTCTTCTGTTAGGCCTACATTTGAAGATGGGAAAACTTACTAAGACCACTCACTTTATCATAAGTTTACTCTGCTTTATGAAGGACTTACATTAAACTGGAAGCATTTTCCTCATTCAGATGAACACATGTTGGATTAGTCCCCCTCCAAAAAACCAAAAAAGCCCCAAAACTCAAGTTGTTTTTCATGCATCACATTCCAATAAATCAAGAATATTGTATTTTCATTACATAAAACCAATATTGGCAAAGTTAAGGTTTAACAAGAAAGTAAGTGACCTGAAAGTATAGAAATCTGTGTGTGTGTGGGGGGGGGTTCTTTAAAAAAAAAAAAGAAAGAAAAGCAATCTGTGTTTTTCTGAAACAATGACTAATATGATATATCTAGGCCTTGTTTATATTTGACAGTATATTTACAGAGAAGCCTGGTATTTCTCTTCCTTCCCTTTTTTATGTCACTATGATGATACACTCTGAGAAATAAATGGATGCAGGACTGAAGCACTTTGAGTATCTGGGGTATGTGGGTGTAGCCACTGAATATGCAGATATGCACCTCCACGTAGGTGGAAAGGAAAATTAAGCTTGATCTTCATTGCTTTATTATTCTAGTGCAGTTATTATAGAACATGGGTTGAGGTGGATGTAAAACCAAGTCCAGTCTGCTTTCTTGCTCCTTTTCATCTGCCCATGTATGCTGCTGGAAGGTTGGGTTTTTTTGTTTTTGTTTTTGTTTTTGTTTTTTTCTGGAACTGGGGATTGAACTCAGGCCCTTGCACTTGCCAGAGAAATGCTTATTCCACTGAGCCATCTCCCAGCCCTTGGATTTTGTTTAAAGTATTTATTAATGTCCTATGTACTTTCTTAAAGCCCTCACATTTGTTTTCTGGTGAGTTTTCTGCCTCTCATTTATACATAGAGCTTATGTCTTTAGTAGCATAGCCACTCCGTAGTATATGAGGCCCTCACTAAGCAAGATTCAATTCCTCATTCCAGAGGTCATTTTTGCTGGCCACAGACTTGTTGCAATCTCAGGTTTCAGAATCAGAACAGTTTTTGACTAGCCTGAATAGAGTGCACGCAGTGCCACAGGAATGGAAGAAAAGAAGCATGTCTGCCTGAAGATCAGAGACGTGGTCCGTGGAGGAAGGAAGGCTCGTGTGGAGCTGGGAGACAGCAGGAAGGGATCTCACTGTGCTGAGCAGTTCAAAGGGACGTGGGAAGAGGAGCAGGAACAAAACTTTGACTTTCAAAACACCGAGTCGTTGAGCTTATTAGTATAAATGGAGGACTTCTTGCCATTAGATTGATTAGTTGTTTAGCAAGGTGGGAAGAAGTACCCTATCCTGATTGCAGCTAGGAAGAAACCCCATGCCAGGAATGAGCTCCCCAACTTGAGGCAGTTGGTGGATTTCTCTGCCCTTCCTCAGGTCAGCATCATCCATGGAACCCTGCAAATCTCTTGCAACTCTGCATTTCCCTTCAAACTCGAGCACTGATAACCATGCACCATCTGATGATGCTCTTTGTTGCTTACTTTATTCTTCGCTGCAGTTGGAGGCTGAAAGGACTGGGCTGAGATGAGCTATGCAAGTGTTAAGGGTCAGGTGCTAGGCAGGTATTGGGGATGAGCCAGGGCAGGAGATGGGAGCCTGTCCTTACAGCACATGGCCTGAGAGTCATGGCTGTTTTAAGCCTTTCAGCAGTTAACATCTGAATTGAGCATGGTTATGCTTAACTGAGAGGCCAAAATGACACAGACTGTGTACCGAGACATGAAGGTGGGTGTGATCTTATGGGAGACTGATTTGGGGCAGGACGTTCTGTGCACTGGGGATGATGTGGTGGTGCATGGCACCTACACGCAGCACAGCTCACACAGCCCTGAGGGGCTGCACTGCATGCTGACCAGGTGGGAGGCTGCCAGGGACGCTGAGGCCAGTGCTTGTGGCTCAAGGGCCAGAGACCAGGGAAGGGGCGAGCTGGGACAGGCCTGTGCAGACTGTGATCTAGGCTTTGTGAGCAGGTGGTGGAGGTCTGGGATACAATAAAGTGACTCTGAACAAGTGAGTGGAAGCTTAGGGGAGGTGGGGGTAAGGCTGCATCGCAGGACCAACTTGGAGATTCACCCAAGATCCTCAGTCTTTGGATCGCTAATTGTGAAGGTAGAAAGAAGGCATAGCAAAGAAGAACCCCTAGACTGAGGCCAAGTCCCTTCGGTGGACTCCTGAATGCCTCTTGGTGGGGTGTGGGGAAGGGTCCTGCATGCACTTTCCTGCAAAGACAGTTGATTTCTGCAAAGGAAATTACCTTGGTGACCACGTATATATTGGCCACTCCCGATCTCTGCTCTGCTGGTAAGTTTCTTCCTAAAGAAAACAAGTAGGGGCTGGTGAGATGGCTCAGTGGTCTAAAGCACCTATTTGGAACAGGCTTGGCAAAGCACAGGGACCGCGGTTCAATCCCCCAGCACCACATACCAGCCCACCCCGCCCCCTGGTGGGCTGAGCTGGCCACAGACACACACACACACACAAATAAATAAAATTTAAAAAAAAAAAAAGAAAACAAGTATGGATTTATTAAATAATTGTTTTCAGAATATAGACACACTTCCTTTTTCCCATTTTCCTTTTCATATTGTTAATGTCAAGTATTATAGAATATTTTCCTACAATAAATTACAGCGATGACAAGACTGTTGTTGCAGACAAGAAGCCCAGGAGGCCTGGAGCCAGGCCTTGTCTCATTTGAACCATCTCATCAGGGGGCTCTGCCCTGCCTAGATTGGTCAGCTAACCCAACTGCATATCTGATATCTATGCGTGTTGAATAAAACCAATTTCATACTGTGCTCTCTTGTCCATGAATCTGAAATACATAAACATAGCTCACAAATACCTTTGAGCATACTAGCCCAAGCAATATTGCCTCTCGAAGCTTCTTTTACTGTTTCCTGAAAAGATTTTTCTATGTTTGAAACTAAAACTTAATAATTATCACTCTGCAATGCAAAGGAAGTAGTTACCTGTAAGTATAAGTGATTTAGTATTTTCCCGTTTACATTTTGACCAATGTGGTGACTGTTAGCCTCATTTTACAGTCAGGAAAGTGGAGGTTGAACAGGCTAAACGTCCTGCTCAGGATCCTACAATCAGCAGTGTAGTGCTAGCCAGGACTCAAGCCTGGGTGTTTTTATTCCAAGTGCCGTCAATGGCCCTATTTGTGACCAACCATGTGGAGAAAATCATTAACTCCTTTCCATAATCACAATGTCATATTTAGCCAATAGGCATCTGGCAGGAGGAGGCCACATATTATTTGATAGTTTTGCCTGTGGATTTTTTTGGCTGTAGGTTTCAAGTTGCATATGATGTAAGGGTTAAGATCTGCCTTTCTCACCCAGGGGAATGGTGTGGAAGGACGAGACAGTCGCTGGCCCAGGAACTGGAGGAGTAGGACACCAGTGACGTCTGGTTTAGTTTTGTTAGTGTCTGTCGTGGGCTGAATGTCTGTGCCCCCTATCCTATGTTCAGTACACACCTCTCAATGTGCTGGCCTTGGGAGTTGGGGCCCTCAAGTTGTCATTAACTTTGCTGACGTCATGCAGGTGGTGTCCTGGTGTCCACTTGACAAGAGTCGTAAGGAGCAGAGACAGAGAGGCTGAATCAGTGGTTACAGGGACAGGCCTCCCTGCCAGGCCTAGGCCTACTGGGCATCTCCTCAACTCCAGCATGGACATTTGCAGCAGAGTGGGAGAAAAGAACAAAGCAAGACTTCCTGTGTGCCCTCTACGGGAGGAGGTTGAGGTGGAATAGGAGGAAAAGCATGAGTGGAAAGGAGACAAGGAAAGCCTAATTGAAAGTATACTTTTAAGAAGTCTGCAGCTCCCAGGAACCAACCCAAGTGACCCAAGGCCATGCAGACCAGCATTCCATTGGTTAAATTTAGACACCTTCCCTACCAGACCATTACATACAAAAGTTCTCAGGAAGAATAAAAGTCCAAACGTTGGCTTGAGAAAGTACAGAGTGGGAGCCTGATCCCAAGACAAAGATGCAGAGTGAGCAAAACCAGAAAATGTTCAGTGCAGTCACTAAGTAATGCCCACACCTGTGGAATGGGCCAACACCTTTCTGAAGGGAGGGTCACATTTTCCTGGGCTTTTGTGCACCTTTGAGTAACACATGAATGTTTCTGGTTCCAAACCATAATGTGCCTGCTACGGAAAGGTGAGTTAAATTCCATCTGTCAGCTGCAGTGCCTTCAGACCTCATCTGGTGACAGGGCCTTGGAGGGTGAGTCTAGAAGGGCCTGAGGGAAGCACAGGTCAAGAGCCTGAGCCAACTCTGAAACACCTTTGGCTGCCAGTGTGAAATGTGTGGGGGAGCTTTACTTATAGTTGCCTTGACTTGGTCTGTAATACAATTATAAGGTTTTCAAGAAGTTTTAAAGTGTCAAGTACTCAGAATTTACATGGCACTTACAAATTCTAAAGAATACATTCTAAGGAGTTCAAATTTCTCTGTCTCCCAGAATTAGTATTTGTATTCCTATAGACAGGCAGTCAGAGAAAGGAAGATTTTTATCATGTACAGTTCCTCAGAACACTTACACTCAAACAACCTACTATTCATTTTGTAAAATTTTCTTTCTACCTTTCTCCTCCCAACAAATGTACTCTGAACACTTGGCTGCAAGGGGGAGGCTGTGCTACTTCTATTCGAGGAGGAAGAGCCGCAAGGGCTTCCTCCCAGCAGGAAGCAGAGCAAAGCCCTGGCACTTCCTGGCTTCCTCCCCAGGCCCCCTGCAGATGTTATTCAGGATGTGTTTCCCTGAAGAAAGAAGGCTGCTAGGCTATGCATTGCAAATTGCTCTCTAATCCTCTGTTTACCTCTACAGACAGCCAACTCAGAATTTCAAATCCCCAATGCAGCACTGGCTTTGGGTTTGCAGTCCAGTTTTTGTTGTTGTTGTTGTTTTTTAAATTTTGTGATCTTGGTTTGGTTTTTTGTTTTTGTTTTTTCTGTACCAGGGATCGAACTTAGGACCTTGCGCTTGCCAGGCAAGTGCGTAAGCCGCTGAGCTATCTCCTTGGCCTGAGGTCCAGTTTTTCCCTTGTCTTTCCAGCTTTCTTCTGTTGCCAAGATGGCTAGTTTATGTTTTAAAAAAGACTTGGTCAGGTCCAATTGGAAGTGGATGCAGAGATGACAACATGATGTAGGGAGGCGGCCCCACTGCTAGGACCCACTGGGGGCACAGTGAGCACCGCACAGCGCGTTCTTCCTCCCTCCCTGGATTCCTGTTTCTTTTTTCTTTTGGTGCAGAGGCCCA